CGCGAAACAGGCTGCAAAACAAAATTAGAAAACAAAATGTGGGAATTGAAGATTACGAACAAAATTCAAAGTGAATGAGGAACAAAATTTGAATAAAAATAGAAAAATCATGGAGAAAGAACCCTAGAAGTGGAGAGAGAAGAGGACCTCAATGGTCCAGTCGAGGGCGTCCCAGAGGCCAGTGGCCTCCATCTTCTCGGACTCGGAAGAGTCCCTGAGGGGCGTTGATCGACCTGAACGGTGCTTCGGTGCTGCCATGCCGCGAAGGACGCCGTTTGTCCGACTTTCGACAAGATAATGGAAGAGATAGAGATAGAGAGAGAGAGAGAGAGAGAGAGACGTGAGGTTTCTCGTCGTTTTATTGGTTGTTTGTTGTTGGTGGTGAATGAATCGGCGGAGGGAGGGAGGGAGGGAGGGAGGGAAGGGAGAGGGCTTTACCTGCCTTTCAAAGAAGTAGCGGTTCGCACGCGATCTATTTTATTAAAATTATTATTTTATTATTATTTGCGTGTACGGACCACCCCTTCACAAACTCTCTCTTTTTGGGTTGGTAAATGAATTTTAATTTTACTAAAACGGTAGAGCGCAAAAAAAGTAACAAATCATATGAGGGGAGCAAATGAAGGCCTTGAAAACATTATCATTCAACAGCAATGGATATTTTTAGGTGAGAGAAGTACTGGTAGGAGAGCAACTTTCATCGAACTGCTAAATTTTGATAATGACAGCATTTTGTATCATGCAAGTCCTTCTTATAGATAAAATTTGCAACACAAGTTGCGAATCAACAAAAGTTTGCAACAAAACTTACTCTAACGTAATACTCTTGAAATCATAACTAGGGAATGTAAAATTAAAGGCTATTCGACAAATATGGTAAACACCACAGGTTCTCTCCTAGGGTATCTAATTCCTAAGCGTTGATATCATTTTGTCACGCCCCGACCCACGAATAAGAACTATTTACGAGCTAGGGTGTGAGTCATATCTTAGCTATAGAAATAAATTCTACAACCAAGATATGGTGGAAAACAAAATTAAATACCATACATTATATAACAAAATCTTACATAAAATTTATCGAATACACAACGAAATAACAATAGTGCACAAATTAATTCACAACAAAAACTACCAATTAAATAATAATTAAATTGTAACAATTCTTTCAAATGCATGAAATATATGCAAATGAGATGGATGAATGTACTCACTCCCTTCTGATCCTACTAACACATACCTAAGGCATCCAAGTCTGCACGTTTCATACCATGCTTATAGCACTTGGCTTCGAATACCCTATAATATGAGTTAACTCCCATTCATCCATTAAGCCCAATTTTCATAATTTATTTCTCCATCTCCACTTTATTTTTATAGGCACTTCCTCCGACGCCCAATTGTATATTTAAGCCCTTCTCTCGACACTTGACATATAAAAGATTTCATTATTATATATTCAAGGCATTCTCTATCTCTTGAATATCTCCACAACTCAAACACTTTACACAACTCAACTCTTTTTCTTGCTTTGCAATGCATATGTATATGTCAAGTTCACATAGATATCAATAAACACATTCTCTTTAACAAGCCTGCAAGTTTCAACATAAATCAAATTAATTTGTAACAAGAGTACTATAATCATAAATCTACAACAAAGTAATAATCTTTAACAACAACATAAATGATAAACAATACATTACCATTTCCTCCTCTTTTATTGTATTCAATTTCATTTCCTCCCTCTTGTTCTCTTTCTTCCTTTGCCACTTCCCCTTGCTCTTCAGAGATGTTGGCCGTGCAAAGAGGTTGGCCGAGAATGCTAGCTTAACCGAACATCAATTGTTCGAACTGGCATACAAGTCACCACATATATTGGATTGTTGTTGTTTTTGGATATGTCATAGAAGAGATGATAAGGAACAACTGTTTTGAAGGAAGTGTCTCTGTTTGAGCTAAGGAAGTTAGAGTTTTGAAGCTCCAAACATGACTGCAGGGTTTTCTGAGGATTTTCAAGACTGTGATAGCATTTCGAGGATCTGGAATGAAATGATCATTGGATCTTTCTGGGATTTGGATATGTTATGGTAGAGAAGAATAGTAACAACTCTTGTGAAGAAAATATTTCGATCTGAGCTACAGAAAATGGGGTTTTGGTACTCATAACATGACTGTCCAGTTTTCTGTGGAATTGGAGATTGGGTTGGTATTTGAAACATATGGGACGATCTCACTGTTAGAATTTCCTGAAATTTGGACATGTCATGATAGAGAGACAGACGAACAACTTTCATGAAGGAAGTACTTTGATATAAGCTACGAATTATGGTGTTTTGGTCTGTTAAATAGGTGGGACGAATTTCTAGTGTTCGGATATCTTTCTTTTGATAGATGAAAATGATTGTGAGTTTTGGAGAGATTTGTTGGGTAAGCTCTCATGATTTTCTAGTATTTGTCTCTCACTTATTGTACAACATTCTCAGGGAAAGTAAGGGGAGATTTTCGATGGTTTGGTGGGAGTGCTTCTCATGACAATGATCTTCAAAATGTAAATGCAAAAATAACACAAGATTTAAGTGGTTTTCCAAATCGACTACATCCACAGGGGTTTGCTTTCATTGTATTTCACTATATATGAGGGACTTACAAATACAATGAAAGACGGCTTAAAGCCTCAACATGTAAAGAAAGACAAGAGGTAATATGAAAGGGAGAATGACATTTTGTTGGAGTTGTTTCTTGTACTTATTCTTCCTCTCTCTTCTCTCCATGTCCCTTCCATTGGTTCTTACTCCTTCCTTTATAGGGATTTAATGACATCTTCCATCCCTTCTAGTTTTAGGAGAAAGCTCCCAAGTGTGCCAATATAAAGAAACCAAGTATTGTGTTAATCATTACCATGAAATATGTTCCAATAACAAGGCAACAAGTGTTGTCCTAATCATTAAGAATGATAAGTGTTCAAGTGGCAAAGCAACATGTGTTGTTCTAATCATTAACAGTGATATGTGTTTCATTGGCAAAGCAACAAGTTAATCATGAACAAATGAATAACATGCAAGATGGGTGCAAGCATCAAAGGCCACGTAAAAGTTTATCTCAAGGTATGCTTGATAGAGTTGCATTGGAGTGAGAATATTGCGCAAATGATTAAGATTCCCTTATATTTATGAGTAAGCACTTCTTATACCACAAACATTGCCTCATGCATGCTAATATACACGCGCACATGGTCATAGGCCTCCCAACTCTTCATTTTAGAGTGGTGGATAATCACCAATCATTAACTCCTAATGACTGCAAACTTGCCAACTCACCCTTATTTGGTAAAAATATCAAGCCAATCCCATATAATCACACTTCTCCAGTTCAAACTAAAAACATCTCTAATTACATAAGAACATGAAATAATACTAGCTAGTTTTTGAAATAATTTTGTAGCAAAATGAACTTACGTTGAGATTAGTTTACATATCGAAAGTATAGGTTCTTATACATATAGCGTATAAAAAGAAATCCAACAAAATTATTATCAAAAAAATAAATTAGGATAATATACATAAATTTTATTTTGAAGAAAATTACCCAAAAAAGAACTTAGCCTAAATTTATTTTTTAATAATCTCGGGCTAAAATTGAACCCAAAACCATTGGAGCAACAAAACTTTCATGAGTCAAAACTTAAAATTTAAGTTTTAATGCAAATGCTGGAGATGGTCTGCAACCTGGAAAACAACTAACAAAATCTTATTATGATATGACTTATACCCAATATAATACTGGGCATGATATCATATGATCATATATCACAGTATCAATGTTACAAAAATATCAGTGTAATAATGGAAAGTGGCATAGTGAAGAGAAAAATATTAATACATGAGAGACGGAGAGAAGTTTTTCTGTTTGAATGATGGAATAAAAGCACTTTCACTTGCAAGTGGCCCTTTATCATAGTGGTGGAAATGTGTTGTGCCTTTACATGACGGCATAAGTTCGAACCCGTCAGTGACTAATCTAACATTTAACTTACTAACGCTATCGTTTCACTAAAAAAAAAAAGAAGAAAAAGAGCACTTTCACTTAAAAAAATAAAAAAAATAAAAAAAGTATGCATATAACCGCAGTCGTAGCTTAACAATGAATAACTTGGGTTGAGGAATGAGTCCCAGTGGGCCATGGGTAGGGTTCGGAACCATTCGCAAGCAAGCATGTATGGTTTAGAACCAATCGCACAACAGCCCATCTTGACAAGGAAGCCAAAATGGGGAGAATTTGGAACCAATTGCACAACATCCCACCTTTAATTGGCATTAAAACCAGAACTACTAGTTTGTTAGCTCTTCCTATTTCAAGGCTCACAGACGAATCCCGCGGTGGCCTCACCAATATCCCGGTGAAGGCCTCGCGATGCACGGGAGGAAGAGCAGAGCAACCCACTGTTTGGTGTAGAGATTGCAGATGTAGTAGTTAGCTGGAGATTCCGTGTATTTGCAGCAACAAACTAAGTCATCAGACGTCCCAACCACATGCGGTCTAAGGTCACCGTCTTCAAAACAAGGGATGAGACTCAAAGAAAAATCTCTTTTCCCAAACACTGGGTCACTGGACGTCGAATACACCAAGGTGGCTCTTGAAAAATTACGGTCAAGCTGAAAGATTTACTGATGGCCATGAGCTTTACGAGTCGAGCACACCATTGAAAAGACCACAATTGTCTCACTAGTTACAAGGCGTACTCTCTTTACAAGTCCATGTCTGCAGCTGGTAACTAAGCCTGCGAAATTTTTTGAAACCTAATTTGCAGACACACACATAACTGCTAGTAAGATTTAACACTGACCTTCCCAAACTGCCAAAACCCACTTGTAAAACATGTTACATACTAAACCACTTGTCGAAACACCTTCATAAATCTGACCCAAACAAGGTAAAGCTTACGTAAAACGTGAGGACCTGGTAACACACTAGGCTGATGGTCGAAAAACAAAGAGGGATTCGAGACAATCGATAAATCGAAGATATATATAGTTTATATGCCCTTGACCTCACGATCACAATACATTCGCTCAAAACGAACAGATAGAAAACCTTTTACACTAGATTTACAAACATTATTAAAAAAATTAAAAAAAACGTATAGCTGATAAATATACACCGTACACAGCTTAATTAAATAGGGCAAACCATGCTGTGTGAAGAAACGAATAGAGAAGCCATATTCCACTGGCCAGAAGACTCACCAAAAGAATGAATGTTTGCAAGCCCGGTCTCTACCTTTTATCTTACCAAGGATGACTTCTAATACAATCTATATTGAAAGTAGCGGCTGTCTCTCCAGGACCAAACAATGATCAATCTGTCCAACAGCATCTCGGAATCTCATTCACTAGCCATGTAAAAGCATTTGCTTAACGTGGTTAGTCGTGGAATCAAGATTTTGGTAGTTTCCACGATCTGAAAATTATACTACCCATCCACATCCAAAAATTCATCATACATTCTACTGCTTGCACTCTCTAATAGAGCTTTTGCATTGACTTCTCTGCCAAATCTCCAGACATAATTCAACCCGACAAGCAGCTCTGTAATTGTTGCTTCGATCTTTTGCTGATTTGCAAAGTAAAGGGTTTGTACCAGAAGCACATGTGTCCTGGAAACCAAGCTTTGCTGTTCAAAGCTCCTTTCGGATTGCCATCTAATCATATTATGAGCAAGAGGTGCCAACCACTCTAATATTCCTGCCATTGCCTCGTTCCACTCTCCCGCAAGAACTGTATCATAAACTGATGAACTCAAGCTCTTACTGTAAGGCTTTAACCTGGCCCGCAATGTAGCTCTGACGTTTGCAGGCAACATATTGTACAGGTCATCTCTTGCATCAAGACCAATCAAGTGAGGAGATGCAACTAACTTCTCAATAACGATAATAACATTTGCATAGTGCAGTGCTAAGGCAGCAGCACCAAGGGTTTCGGGTGGAGCATCCAACAACCTGCCCTTGGAACTGAAGATTGATGGACCAGGATGAAATTTGTTGCCAGAGGTTAGAACGTTGCCACTGGTATCTCTGGCAACATTGAGAATTGATGAACGAACACCATCTGAATTCAAGTAGCAATTGGCAACAGGTGAACTGTTTGCGGTTATCATACATCCTTTGAAAGGTCCAACTTGAGTCAACCTATTCGACTTTGTATGCGGTTTCTTCTCATGATTAGGGAGTGAATGATCATGAGACTTCCACAACTTCCTAACGGCTCGATTTGTTGCAGCAATTGGGCCTGATTTTGTTGTTGACCTCCCAAGAGGGCCCGAGTAAAAGTTGACATCTCTATTCTTTCCTGAAATAGGACCGGACTTTGCAATCGAGCCACCAAGTGGACCGGAAAAGAAATTATTGGTTTTCTTTGTTTCCGGTGTTGGCCCTGATATATTACTAAACCTCCCAAGGGGCCCTGAAGCAAATCTTGGAAGACCATTCTCAGATGGACGCGCTGAAGATTGCATTAGTGCAGAAACTGAATTGCTACGATTGATGTGATCAGAATTAATAATTCCAGAATCTTTGGTAGCACCAGCGTCTGCCATTTGTTGAATTCCAAAGACATGCTTGATCCTACTGAACATCGTGAAGAGTGCTCTTGCCAAAAGGATGACTATGTAATCATAAGTCCTGTTCCACAGAGATACGTCTTTCAAATTTTTCACTTCCTGCCGCTTCCACACTACCTTCTTCTGAAACTCAATTAAATTTAACCCATCTAAATCATCGGTTCCTTTCATTCTCCTCAAAGTTTGTTCAAGCTCAGTAAGCACTTCCATTTCTTCATACAAATTTGCATTTGCTGAAATGAACTTCTCCATCTTCTTAGCTTTCCTTTCCATTCGCTTAAAAGAAAATTCCCATCCATAAGGGTCAACACCATGATTTATCCAATCAGTAAACGCATTCTCGAAACTCTTCAAAGCAGGATCGGTACAATTCTTCGCAAGCCTAGCCACAGATTTTGCCACATGGACCATATTTTCAATCAATTCAGCGCATATTAACCCCACAATGAAATCATCATCCTCTGACACAAGCTTTTTTATGCCCACTGAATTTGTGATTTCTTCACTAAGCCTAGCAACCTGTTTGTCGCTCAGAAATTGCCATAGATGGACCAGCTTAGACATCAAGCTTGCGACTTCAAAGGCCAAAACTCCAATCACTGCATTCTCAGAAGCAGCCTCATGCTTCTTTTTAGTCTTCCACAGAGTTCGAAACCATGATTCTGCAACCATTCTTCCACCCAGAAAAAGATTTTGATATATGATCTCTAAGCCGAACCCAGAATCATGTTTCTTGACCCTGTATAAAATAACAAAACTACGATCAACTACATAAACTAATAAAATACATATACTGGACTTCATAACATAAACTTGAATAAACAACCGAACAACTTCCTACCAATTTTAACTTTCTTTTGCTCAAGGGTTTCAATTTTTCGAAAGCAACAAAACGCTAGGATATCAAGAATTCCATACACCCAAGATTCAGAACAAGTCAAATGAAAAAAAAGAAAAAAGGAGATAAAACTACTCCACTCAGCAAAACCGGTTCGAGCAGTATTTATAATAGTAAAATCAGCTTAGCTGATGCATGAATGGCAAACCCAAAGACTCTCTCAACTACTAATCTCAGAATTATTCACATAAATTTCTACTAATCTCAGAATTATTCACAAAAAAAACCAACAAAATAAATATTTTAGCAAAAATTCAGAAGAATATACCCTAACACTACCTGCAAATCCCATAAAACCTAAAACCCAATACACCAATCAGTACAAAATTTCAAGATCCATATATCAAAAACCCACAAAATTTCATTGCAATAATAACAAGATTATTATTGCTATTTCTACTTGCATAAATATAAAATTCAAACAATAAAAAATTAAAGCCAAATTTGCTGATTTATGTATAACAGCCTTTTATATAGTTCTGCAAATTCACACTCACTACAAAGTAAATTAAAACAATTGCGTCTTCCAAATTCTGTGCTCAAAATTTCAAATAAATTAAAACAAGAAAAACAAAAGTATGATCAAATGCACCAAATCAAAATTAAACAAAAAAAATATACATGTAATAAAACTCACCGACCAAATGAAGACGAACGACTAGCCAACGAATCTTTTAATCCAAAAATTAAAAATTACATCTGAGAGAGAGGAAGTTAGAGAGAGGAAGAGAGGAAGTGGCAGGGAAGCTGCAGTGGGAAGAAGTTGAGCCGCAACCCACATGGATGATGGAATGGAAGAGAAGCAGAAGATGTAGGACGAGCCAAAACGAGTGATATTTAAGATACATTACTAATTTTCTGCCTAATTTGCATTTCCTACCCCTCTATTCTCAATTGTTTAGACCTACCTACCCATAATTTCTCATATCTTGTTAAATTTGTCCCTTAACTTTTACAAAATATACTTTGAGCCGAAAGTATTTCATATTTTATTCATTCTATTATTTTCAGTCTTTATTATAGGTCGTGTTTGGTTATCCTCGAATGCAAATGTGGAATTGACAAACCGATTCTCATTCCAGTGGAGATAGTTTTTTTTTCTTGATTCCCAATTATCAACAACAATAACAATGAAACTTTGTTCTACTAAATATGGTTGGTTGTATGAATTCTAGAACTGCACTCGATTTTGCACCAAGTCTTCTGTTAGTTCCAAGTACTCTATGTCATTTCTTAAAATCTTTTTCCAAGTCTTCCTAAGTCTTTCTCTACCCCTTTACCCTAAGCCTCTATCTCATGCGATTTCTCTTACCGAAGCCTCTGTAGGTCTTCAGTTCACATGTTCAAATAGAGTGGCTGCAATTGAAGATAAGATTAGAGAAAATCGATTAAGATGGTTTGGATATATGAACTAAAGACCTACAGATGCAATACTCGTTGTCAATTATCTTGGCTTTTCTAATTTATCCATGACATAATTTCAAACTTTCATCCAACGATCCTAAACATTGTGAAGTTAAAAGGTGTTACAAAATTATGGAACTAATGTTATAGTTTTACTAGATGGATATTTTCTTTCTAGCAGTATCTTGGTGAGATGACTTGAGAGTGAAGGCTTAGCGGGTGACGTACGATTGACTTTATGGGGTTCGATACTTTAAACTTCAAGAAGAGATGTTACACCTACCAATTAGATTGAGGTCACATAATTTTAAGGGCTAGTCTAAGGGGTGTAGCATGGAAAATGATTAAGTTAGTGGCAAGGGTAGTTAGCCATGGAACTCGTCATGTGAGGCTAGTCTATGAATTTTAAGTCAATTTCTTCAAAATACAAGTGAAAATATTTTTTTATTTTTTATTTATTAGCACACCCATCACATATTATTGAATACGCCCACTTGCTTTCTGTGTGTAGGTTGCACGGAATTGTGCCTCCACCATCCACGACGGCGCACAAATTGCAAGCTTTGGAGATCATTTTCTCAAATCCTCAAGGAGCGAAAGGAGAAACAAAGAAGCAAACATCTAAGGAGAGAAGATTAAACATGAAGAAGCATCCAAAGAGCTTGGAGTGAACTTGAGGCCCTCCATTTGAGTGACAACCTTGTAAACACAAGGACGAGCTTCAAGGGTTTGAAAGCTCAATCTCTCTTCTCTTTAATTGGTAATGACTCTTGGTTCACAACACTATGCCTTGAATATCATGGGATTAAGAATCATTTTTTAGTTCATGCCATCTTTAATAGTTAATTTTATGCATGCTATGCTCAAATGTTCTTAGTTAGACATAATTTTTCCTCCATGACATGCATGTCCTATGTAATTCCCTAAAATTTATATTAAAAAACGAATGCTAAAACTCTCCTTTATTACAAAAAAAGATTTGCAAGTCATTGATTGCCCTAGAGATTAAGACCTTCCTACTAAGTTCAGGGTTATCTTTTATCTCCTTGTTATAGAATATCGTTTGTAAAAAATGAAAGATAAATTAAAATGGCGTATCAAAATGAATTTTTTTGGTCGAATATCAAAATTAAGAGAATTATTTTTTATTTATTAGTTTATGGGGTTATGCAATGAGCTAGGCAAGTAAGAACGATTTACCCCCAAAAAAAAAGAAATAGGAAGCTAGTAAAAGACAAACCATAAATACAAGGAAGACCAAGGACTGAAATGAAAAACCCTGAAAATGAGAGATCCACCAGAATCATTAATGGCGACCACGCGGAAACAATTCATTTTACCTTCTTACCCCAAGCCTTTATGGCATATCTGGACCACAATGTTTGAAAGAATAAATTACTTTTCTATTAATCTCTCTTCTTTTTTTCTTTTTTTTATTTAAACGGTTACGATTAAACATTTTAATGTTGTATTTTGAATTATATATATATATATATATATATATATATATATATATATAAAAGACAAAAAATAAGTATGAGAGAAAAATAAAGAAAAAAAATAATATTAAAAGATGAGAAAATCCAACTCCATGTCGAGCCAAGGACCTACATGCAAATCAAAGCAAAGTGCAAAGTCCAAATGCGTCAAAAGTCTACACATCGATGATCGATCCGAACAAAGGTGGTCCGGAATCAAGAAAGTCGACGTCATTGTGGAGCATAGCTCAAGGTTTTCTCAGCACGAACTTTCACTAATCACTAGTTCCCCTACTTGGTATTATCTTCTTATCTAAAAGCCTAATTAACCTCCACCTTTCTTTTTTGTTTGTTTTTTTTTAACAAAAATGATTGTCAATTTTGGTCTTTTTTTAATAACAAAATTGTTATTTTCACCGTCTATTTGTACTATCTTTTTAATAGAAATGAGACTCACATGTGTTGGTGAGTTCTATTTTTATTAGAGAGATGATACAAATAGATAGTAATAGGCTAATAGTAACACTACTTTTTTTTAATACATTCAATAATACCACTAAAATGTAGTAAGCGGTATTCATGTTGGTCACCTTTGTTTGATTGTTAGTGTGTAAACACAAGTTAATTAGGGAAAGTTGTCCTTATGACTTTTTAATTGATTTGTGACTGGCCAATATGTATTATATGCTAAACTAATGATGGTATTTTCTTTGTGTTTGTGCTAAGGGAACCCGAAGGAGACCAATGGTAGGCATAGCCGAATGACTGTTTTGTTCAATTTGATAAATTAGGTCATATGTACATAAAATAATACATAGGTTAATGATTTCACACTTTCGATTTCGGGAAATTTGCCACCTTCCCAATTTTTTTTATTACTTTTTCATTTTTTTAAGTGTGAAAAGACTTAACTAATCGTATTGCATTCAAACCCTTTATTTTTATAATTTTAATTGATCGAGATCCTTTGAAGAAGAACTCGAGCTCATCTCAATACACTATTGCAGAAACAGAATAACACTCTAAACAAGAGAGATGACTCATAATTACTAGAGATCAATTCAAGGAACCGTTGCACGAATAATATGGCAGAAACCCTCACCCTATGGAGGACAATTTCTGAATTGTCTTTCCCCATTTTTCTTTCTACTATAAATCAAGGGAGGTAGGAAGAGAAAAATGAGAACGAAAATCTACTATTTAATTTAAATACTATATATTAATTATGTGATGTGGTATATTTTTGGCGTGCTGCAGAAACAAGAAGTTGTGGTGTATGTATTATTTTATTCCCTTAAAGGATCCTCGCCGGATCATCTTTGTGAGGATCTCAGGATTCCTCCAATCACATACATTCATTGTACATCATGCTGCTAGTGTTTATATTCAATTTTAAATAAAAAAATATACAATAATTTTTTACCGCACGATATATGATGAATGGATGTGATTGGAAAATCCCAAGGATTCTTACAAAGAGGATCCGGTGAGGATCCTCTTGGCTTGTTATTATCATCAGTTGTAATTATTTTTTTCACTGTCAAAATTTCTCTTAGAAGGAAAGTGAGATAGGATAGAGAAAGACAGAATCAAATGAGAAGAAGAAACAATAGAGAATAAAAGAGAAGAAAGGAGAACTTTATTTGAACAAAAAAAAAGTGAGGAGAGAAGGCGAAGAAGACTGAGTAGAAAGCGAAGATAGATGCTCTTTGCGCCAAGAGCTTCATGTTAATTCGATGATGTGGGACCCACATGTGTTCACATCATCGGATTAACATACTTTTTAACTGAACTTGACCAATAGTATACCTTTTGTTAAATTCAAGGAACCGAAAGGTCTAGAGGGCCAGATGATCGAAAATAGTTCGAAAACCGTCTCCAACCGAGGGCTAGGCTAAAGGGCTCGTGGCCCCCACGAGACAAAAAAAGGCCAACCGACTAGCCTAACCTAGCCAGCCAGCCGGCCCCGGATCAAGCCAGAAATTTGAATGTAACGGCTAACTGACGTCAGTTAGCCATTATATTTGATTTTTTTTTTACAAAATTAAATTTATTTTTATTTTTATTTTTCCTATAACTTCCTAATTCATTAAACAACATTAAATAACATTAAGTAATATGAAACAACATTAAATAACATTAAACAACATAAAAAAAACATTTAACAACATGAATCTTAAACAATATTTTAAAAAACATTTAACAACATAAAACTTAAACGCCTACTCCATGCTTCTTTTGGCCCAAAGATGTGCAACAAGATCTTGTTGTAGTTACTTATTTGTCGCACGAGAACGTATCATCCTATAGCGCCTCATGTAGTCATTTAAAGAAATATTACCATTTCTTGGATTCAAAGGCAAATTAGGCCCATCATATATTTTTGCACGAACCCTTCTTGACCTATTTAGATCTTCTTGGTCGTCATTAGACTCTCCGTCAATATACCCATCTCGCTCATCCTCCGCAATCATGTTGTGTAATATGATGCAAGACATCATGATGGAGTCCAAATTTTCTCGACTCCACCCTTTTGCCGGTTCCTTGATGATCTTCCACCGTGCTTGTAGAATACTGAAAGCTATCTCAACATCTTTTCGGTATGCCTCTTGGTGTAAGGTAAACAAATTTTCGGCATCATTCGCAGGGTTTGGAATTGCTTGGACAAGTGTTGCCCATTTTGGGTAGATACCATCTGCCAAGTAATACCCCATATTGTACTGAAGACCGTTGATGTAGTAGTCAAGTTGAGGTGATTTACCTTCCGTCAGGTTATTAAAGAAGGGTGAATGCCCAAGAACTGTAATGTCATTTTGGGATCCAGGGACTCCAAAGAAAGCATGCCAGATCTATGTGTCATACGAGGCAACCATCTCTAACACAACAATTGGCTTTCTCGACCTTCTGCTAAAGCCTCTTTGCTATCC